TGTGACTCACTACATCTTGCTTTTAGGAAGCCATGAATTAAAGATGCAGAAAAAAAAAATCATGGTGTGATTCTAGTTCCACTGCTGATTTATGATGGACACATCATCCATGACCTATTCACTTAGTCCACCTCTGAATCCTAATGGCAAAGAATGACAATTTTCCATTACGATTCACTCAATCCTAAATAACACATTGTTTATATAGATAGTAGACCAACTCCTTAATCTCCAGTGTTAATATAATATTTATATACCATTATATTTATTAATATTTTTAAGCTTTTTTATTTATATTTTCTTATTTCTTTTCATTTTAGTTTACAATTCAATATTTTTTGTGTCCTTTTGCCAGGTTTATTATCATTATTACTATTTTAGTATTTCTTTTTAGATGTAATTTCTTTTTCTTTTTCTTAAAATTTTTTGTAATTTTAGTACTTAATTCTATATTATTAGTTATTTGCCAAGGCAACATTTTCAATTTCCATTTTTTAGGATTTTAATTTAATTATTTTAATTTAATTTTCATTTTATTTCATCTTTATTTTAATGAATTAAATACATTTTCAATAGTTTTATTTTCACTTTTATAGTCTGCCCAACATTGAAAATTCTGACATCATTTACTCACCCTTTGTTCCAAACCTAACTTTCTTTCTTTTTCAGAACTCAAAAGAAAAATTTTGGTAACCAAACAGTCTCAGTTTCCATTGATTTTCATAGCAATTTTTTTTGTCCATAATGCACATTAATGGGAACCAGTGTTCCCATGAAGGTGAGTAAATGATGACAGAATGGTAATTTTGAATGGACTATCTCTTTGACAAAAACAACACTGTTAAACTCAAATCTTTAAAGTAACAGAAAAAAAACACACTTTTGCCTCATTTAGTGGCAAAAGGCATCTGGGTGTCCTACTGTAGCCAAAAAGAAATATGGGACATTATACATTTTTTTAAATGCTTTAAACACTACAGACATCCTAATAAACTATGTAGTGCTTTTGTATAATAAAATTAGATTTTATTATACAAAAGCACACCCATTTCTAGGCACCACTCACTTTCTTGCCTAATTAAAGGCGAAGAGCTGAAAATATAAGCATCATAAAAGCAAAAAACTTAAAATTATCAGTAGTACCCCAAGGTATTAGTCAGTTTACATTAACAAACACATAAATATTCCTTCAAAAACAGAAAGCTTCATAGACACAAATCAATGTTTAGCACCATGGACAGCGGCAGTGCCATAGCCATAAATTGGTCTAACTCTCCCAAAGTATAGACAAAATATTGACCATCTTGCATGCGTACACACAGTGATTCCTTAGCAACACACATTTTCTCTCATACAGTATTTCCCCATTTCAAAACCATGGACAGGGATTATTCTGCTGTTGTAACTGTTAACTATCTAACAAAATCTATCTAAATTATTGTGTTATATTAGTACTGCAGATTACTAAGGAAACAACAAAGGATTAAAATAAGTAACATGCATGTATTTACAAAAGATTTTGTAAATATTTATAACTTTTTAGTAATGGGCATGGGGAATATATAGAAGACTGTATAATTACATAAACTTATGTACATTTTCAGTTTACTAGTCATATACATTTTTATATTTTGCTGAAATAATTACTTGAACTAAATTTGAACTGATTTGTTTAACTGAAATGAAAATGAAAAGTGTGAGAGGAAAAAGACCCTGATTGAACTAACAATTGTGTAAAGACTGATACAGGCCTCCAAATTGCTGCACCTGCTCCCTCTAGCGTACTTTACATACACTCAGAGAAAGAGAGAGAGAGAGAGAGAGAGAGAGAGAGACAGAGAGAGAGAGGGCTACCAAATGAAGACAAACTGTTTCCCTACTGCACACAAAATGAGTTAGTAACAGAATTACACTTCTTAACCTTGCGCCCAAACTACAATCCAACAAATTTTCCAATAAAGAATTTCAATGAAAATTTAACACAAACAAACTCCCAACACTTGTGAAACACCATACTGACAAGATAAGCAAAGCCAAATGAAAAGGGGTGGGACAGACTGTATAAATAAATACCTTTATTCTATGTGTACATTATTATAATATGACTGTTATATCATATTATAATTATTCATGTTTAGCAATTTAAGTCCTGTTATTACACTAATTAAAGGAATATTGAAATGAAAATTTGCTGAAAATTTACTCAGACTAAGAGGGACCAGAAGCAATGGTTTGAAGTTATAATCGTTATAATGATGGATTTGTTTCTTACAAAACACATACTTCTTGCTTCACGAGATGTTGATGGACTGGAGTCGTGTGGCTTACTTGTGGATTATTATGATGTTTTTTATTAGCTGTTTGGACTCTCATTCTGACGGCACCCATTCACTGCAGGGGATCCATTGGTGAGCAAGTGATGTAAAGGTAGATTTCTACAAATCTGTTCCAATGAACAAACAAACTCATCTACATCTTGGATTGCCTGAGAGTGATTCATTTTACAGAAATTTGGAAGTGTACATTATTATAATATGACTGTTATATTATATTATAATTATTCATGTTTAGCAATTTAAGTCCTGTTATTACACTAATTAAAGGAATATTGAAATGAAAATTTGCTGAAAATTTACTCAGACCAGAAGCAATGGTTTGAAGTTATAATCGTTATAATGATGGATTTGTTTCTTACAAAACACATACTTCTTGCTTCACGAGATGTTGATGGACTGGAGTCGTGTGGCTTACTTGTGGATTATTATGATGTTTTTTATTAGCTGTTTGGACTCTCATTCTGACGGCACCCATTCACTGCAGGGGATCCATTGGTGAGCAAGTGATGTAAAGGTAGATTTCTACAAATCTGTTCCAATGAACAAACAAACTCATCTACATCTTGGATTGCCTGAGAGTGATTCATTTTACAGAAATTTGGAAAGTGAAATATTCCTTTAAACTTTTGAATCTGAAACATACACACACTGAGAACATAATCCATAAAATGAAATATCCACCAAGAAACAATGAGAAAAAAAGACTATCTGGATAATGCAGATAGGTCTTACATTTCACAAGATAATTTAGATATGATTATATTTTTATGTGAAAATGTACATTGCTATTAGCACTTTGAAGGAAGAATTGAACATTATATTTATGTGTGTCCTGTTATTATCCAAAGATTTAATTGTAAGGTCAAATCTCTCTCTCTCTGTCTATTTTTCTTTCTGTGTGTAAGCATTTGCACATGGATGGTTTTACAGTCTCTTTGCTTTGTGCACATGTATTGAAACATCAAAATGTTTCTCTCCCATTATCATCACAGCACACATATACAGATAAACGCAGCCATTTGATGGGAAAACAACAACAACAGCTGCTGAGCCATGTGTGTCCCTCTGGCCTATACATTTGTGTTTAAGGTTTAAATGTTAAATATGGATTTACACAAATGAAAGACCTTCATATTTTAACTCATGTGATGTCTTAGTGTTTGCTCTGTATTATTAAAGTGAGATTTAAACTACATTTTTCTAAACACTGTTTGATGATGTCAAAGGCAAGGCTTTTATAATGAGAAGCTCAATTTAATCAATATTCCTGAGGCTTTTCCAGCGGCACTTTGTTAGTCACCTGCTGTAACCCGGAACCCTTTATCGACTGCTCTGCTTTTAAAACTTGACAAAAAACTCTATGTAGCCTACCTCAGAAAGCCTCTTCAATGTGCAATTAAGCGAAGATAAACCTCCTTCATAGAGGTCACATTTCTGTCTGATTTTCTGTGATACCTAGGGTGATATGAGAGTTTTATTGTGATAAAGGGACAAAGGGAAGAGAATGTGTTTTTATAGAAATAGTAAGTAATTCCATTGACATTTTAAATTACTGTGCACATGTTACAGTAATAATTCCAACAATCTATGAGTATGTTTAACAATCGTTAGATGAAAAAACTTGTTGTTTCTTCACAAACAGCTGTAATTGAGTATTTTAGATTTGCATATTATGAAGTAATCAACTGTAAAAGGATAGTCTCCCCCAAAAAATGAAAATCCTGTCATCATTTACTTAGTTCATATACTCATCCTGTATGGCTTACTTTCTTCTGTGGAACGCAAAAGGAGATATGATTCACTTAACATTGGCTTATACTATAAAAAAAATGTTGACAATACAATCAAAATCAAAGGTAACTGAAATGGTTTTATTAGCAACATATATTTTTTTAAATTGTATTTTCATACAGTTTTTTTCTATACAGAAAGTCATACAGGTTTGGAGCAACATGAGGGTGAATAAATGATCACAGATTTAGCTTTTTGGATTGACTATTCCTCTGCAGGTTATTCTGTCAACATTACGCTGTTCCAAAACAATTTTCTTCTTGTTCTGTGAAACACAGAAGGTGAAATATTGAAGAATATACTGAGGAGTTTTTCCAAGCATCAATACTAAATGATGAGTGCAAAGTACAGTATTATAAAAGTGGTCCAAATTAAGTCTTCTTGAGCCATACCATAGCTCAAATTTAAGTTTCTATTCACTGAAAAGTTTGGTGCCTTGATGAGAAAGTACAGTGATTTCTGAATGAACCAGCTGAAGGAACAGTTCATTTGAGCCATCAATGAATCGATTGAGCCATTTCACAAAACTCTCAACGATTTGTTCATGAATTAGAATTTGGGACTGTTCATCACACAAAGCTATAGTATGGCTTCAGAAGACAATGATTAGGCATGGACTGCCTACTTTTATTGTGATTTTGCGTTTGCACCATTCATTTGCAATACGCGTGAAAATAAACAAAGAGGACATTTTTCAAAATGCCTCCTTTGGTGTTCTGCAGACAGTCTAGCTGGACAAGAAAAACGTCAAGTTGAGTAAATGATGACAGAACTGTCATATTTGCAAGAACTATCTATTTAAATAGCTGTATAAAAGACACTGTAATTGTGTGGCTCATTAATGACACTTGGTTGAAGACGCGCGTGGGGAAGGATGCACGCGCCCAGGGGGAGGGTACGAAATCAAATCCGCCTCACGAGCTTCTTCTGCTCGCGGAAAGCACAACTCCAGTCACACAACCGGGATCCACAAACATACATTCTACAGTTTGTTCCTTTTCGACTCTTTTACGAATTTGTTACTTTCTTTTGGAAAGGGAGACCGACTCCCTACCTGCGACGCTCGATGAATTCTGCGGGGAGAGTCACTTTGTTGTTTCTTTTAATTGTCCTGATAACGCAAGGTAAGTTCAACTGTATTCAAGATATCAATAGATTCTATGAGCACAAAAACTTTGAAAAAGATTGCTTGCTCTGCGTCTCTTGTGCCCATTGACCTCAATAGTAGCCTACTGAGATCAAGTGGGGAAAAAGTATTAGCTCATACTCTGTCAGTCGTGAACTAATGAACGATCATGCTCTAGCCTACTGTCCCACCAAGTTTGTTTAAGGACATTTTCTCAGTTCTCATGTAATATAAATGAATAGTTCGCACAAAATGAAAATTCTGTCACCATGTTTTTCTAAACCTGTATGACTTAGCCTACTTTCTTCTGTGGAACACAAAAAGATGTATTAGGCAGAATGACAGCTCCAGTCACTATTTACTGCACTATATGCAAAAAGATGCAACTAAAGTGAAAGGCAGTCGATCGCTGTCAGTCACGAATATTCTGCCCCTTTTTGGTGTTCCACATAAGAAACTAAGTGAGAACGGGTTTGAACAAAATGGTTATAGATAATTCATAATTTCTGGTTCTGTTAATGCGAAATAGCCTAACACAAGTTGACAGTCTTAGGTTTGCGCATTTAAATGAGTAATTAGTCTGTTTGCGTGACCGTGACATTCACTTCGTATCTGTATATAGGTGAGTTATTTTGCTTTGATAATAATCTTAATAACGATTTATGCCAGAGCGTTACGTTTTAATATAGTCAAATTCGTTCTTCACGCTGTTGGCGTGCGCGCGGAACGCAGAGTTTCGGGCGCATATATTCGTCTCGCTCGGGAGACACTAACTGCGGGGAATCCGAAGGCTATTTCAGACAACAGCCATAGCACAATTTTGTTTAAGCACTTTAAAGCCTTTTATCGGCAGAATGAAACCGGTAGGTGAGCCCAGTGGTAATGAAATGCGTGTTAATCACTTCGTTTTGCACTTTCGTCAACACCCGCTTGTGCGTCACAGCGTTGAAATATTTACAGCCTTCTCGACTCTGAGAAAGCTATATACAGCTGTTTACGTAAAATTAGCAACAAGTCCACGTTTGGTCGTGTTAACTTGCCACTGAATTAGGTATCTGCTATAAATTCGTTCTCTTCTTGTTTGGTTTAGCTGGTAAATCTGCATCTAAATAAGAAACAAGAGGCTTCACTTTTTTGTCACTGCCATGCAATTTGTCACTCAAGAGTGAGTCATACATTTTGGAGATAAACTTAGAAGCAGGCAAACACTCAAAGGAAACTCGCCATTTTCATCCTGTTGAGTTTTCACACTGCTAAATTCCTTATGCTGTTCTGAGCCTGGAAAAGAGGAGTTGTCTGAGGATGAACTTGTGTTCAACTCCAGCTGTATGTCATTCTCGCTGCAAGCATTCTCTCCATGCTGGACTGATCACAAGGCCACCGCATGAAGTGAGGAGCTGGGAAGAGACAGAGAGAGATGTTTGGAGAAAGACACCAGAGGGTCTAGGAAAGGTTTCTCAGGAGATACGCACAAATATAAAGGTCTGATAAGCACTATAGTCAGAGCAAGGGAGAGGTTTACTCATATAATTTGCAATCATTTGTGTACCATTGATTTGCAGTGGAATCGTCATTAAATTGTCTATTGATTGTCATCAGCGAGGATGGACAGCTTATTTTTGTTTTAATTATTTTTATTTGATTATATTATTTCTTTTATCACCCGCTGCAGAGTTAGACACAAGCTCAATAATATTCAGGTTTTGTAGGGTTAGATGATGAGCTATTTTGAGACACATTATGCATGTAGTTTCACAAAGTAAGGCAATGGCTTTTTGTAGGTAGGCGAAAAATATGAATGTTTTTAGTTTTGATCGCGTAAAATAATGTACTAAATCACTAAAGAAAGACTGAATGAGCATTCCTATCACACACTATGTAATTTTATAATTGAGCATACTATATATATATTTTAAATGTTTTTGTGAACTTTGCACAATTGTTTTATTTTAAATGTAGTACAACCGAATGGGAATTCCCTTTAAAATGCCCAATTAACAAATACCTTTTAATTCAGTGATTCTCAACTATTTTGACTCAGAGTCCCCGCATTGTCCACAGTATTCAAATGCTCCAAGATTTTTCCTTTTGTTTGTGATTTACTGAATAAGGGTTAAGGATTTTTTTTTAAAATATCTTTTATTCACCATTTTTACGTGATCCCTTTTTTTCCTTGCTTTCAAATTTTTTCTAACTAGAAAAATTAATATTCATAATAAAAATGCCCCCCAAATTATAAAATTTTATTAATTTACATTTACATACATATTTTCTAGGGTTCCAGGCACCCTGGTCGTACCCCTAGAATATCTGCCTGTTTCTTTTACTTGGTCCCTCTTTTGTGGTCCATATTACTGTTGTCATAAAAAAACAAACATGAACTATAAAATATAATAAACAAATATGAAAGTATATTTGAAAGTGATATTTTCATTGTATTTGTCACTTTCTGCAAAAAGAACACTTATAGTAAGTAAAAAATATTTATTGTAGTTTTTTTTGCATTTTATTGACATGTTCACACCAGGTGTTACAATGCATGATATTGGTATATATATATATATATATATATATATATATATATATATATATATATATGTGTGTGTGTGTGTGTGTGTAAAATCATACTGTAGGCTTTACACATACATCCAATGTTAGATCTCTTCCAGATCTCTGGGGAGGAACATCCTCTGGGGAGGATTGATCTTTTATCCACCCAAGCGCTCTTTTTCTATAGCTTCACATCTGTGTTTTGGTGCTGAGGAGAGAAATCAATGAAGTTCCAGCAGGGAGAACGGTTATGGGAGGTAAACCCCTCTGCTCCAAAAGAGAAAAAGAAAGAAAGCTAGAGAAAGTAAACAAAAGAAAGGCAAAAATGATTCTCCTCACCTCAAGAATGGGTGTAAAGACATTTTGAATTGTTTCCAATTTTTTTCTTTCTTTTTCATCCAAGCTTTGCCACCTCTATTTCTTCTGCCTTCCTGAGGCTGGTTTAGATGATGGCAATGGTCTTAGAGCCCCAGGACCCTGCAGTTGCACAATTTGATATGTTTCAGTGTAATATGAGGTAATGCTCCAATTCATATGTAGGGTGAACTGAGAGAAGAAGAAATTATGATTGCCCTAAGTTTGCCTTGAGACTATTAGAGAAGCTTACCTCTTAAATAATGGATGACAGTGCTGAAAATATGAAGATTTCCATGTAGCTTAGTGTCATGCTTCCTGCGTTCGGAATTAGTCACAAACTCACATAGATACACGTCACATACATACGCACCACATGCACAGACAGTGACGCATGTCCTGACAGCACCTCACACACATACAGAAGCACAAAGTCTGCTGTGGGGAACTGGCGTGTGTGCTGCTGCAGGCTCAAGTCTCTGGGCAACAAGAACAGCTCACCTGTCTGATTCTATCTGTTATGCTTTGCCTCCACTGACAGAGAAACACACTTAGTGTCCCGCTCACTTTGAGAGGAAGAGCTCTCTCTCTCATTACTTCTAAATGAGTGTATATGGGCTCAGCAGCAGTTCAACGAGTGACTTACACACATGGCTTTATATTGTCACAGATGACTCTTTAGTCTTTCCAACCAATTGAACATTCTTCATAATCATTGCTTTTGCTTGCGTGTTTCTCTGATCTTCAGCAAACCAGTTTCTGGAAACATTCATGTATTTTGGATAATATGTTATTGTACTTGCAAGGTCGGGTAGTATTGTTAAAATATATATAGCATTTTTAAGATATCTTGAGATTAATGTATTTGTTCTAAACTTGCTTTAAAAGAGTAATTTTAAATAAACCAAAATGTTTAATGCAAGAAAAATCCAGGGTAACAATTGATTTTAAGGTGTCCACATGTTATGTTTACTTACTATTATAATAACAATAAATTATGCATAATTACATGCAAGTAACCCTAAGCCAAACCCTGATTCTGACCCTAACCATATAGTAAGTACATGTAGTTAATTAATATTACTCAGTTCTAAAATGTATAATTACACTGTAAGGACACTTTAAAATAAAGTGTAACCAAATCCAGTTATAAATAACTGACTATTTTTGCCACTGAAATTTTAAATAAAGATGCTATTGAATCATGCACAAGTTGTGAGATATGGAAGGATTACAAAATGTACTGAATGACCTGCTCTTTAGTAAATGTAATGACCAAAAATTCCACAGTGACTCATACATTTTTTGGATGTAATTGCAATTTTAATGGGCTTCAGTGCTGAATCCAGTGGACCAAATCAAATGTGTAGGGTTTAACTATTATGAACTGTAATTTTAACGTAAGTACCGCTGCTATTTTTGATCAGCCTCCATCCTCATTGTGGCCACTGACAGCTCTCTTGCAATTATGATAATGTCTTCTCTGCTCCATTCTTACGTTTTTATGTGAATTGGGCTCTGAAATGAATAAATACGATGTAATTGACAGATTTTGTGAGTAGTATCTTGGACCTAAAATATGGATTCATGCTGTTTTATTTTTGTTTTTGACTGAGAGTGTTAATACAGCATATTATCAATTGGCAAATATTTCATCTCAGTTACGTATATAATCTTGTTCGGGAACGGAGACGTTATGTTGAACATGACTGACTGAAAGGGAACCTCCAAACTCACCACACTCACTGGACAATAATGTATAGTTAAAAACATTCCTTAAAGAGATTGTGCACCCAAACATTTTACTCACCCTCATGTCATTATATACCCTCGTGTGTATATTTGAAATATATTGATTTTGACCATACAATGGAAGTCAATGGCAGTAAACTTGGTTATCAACATTTTTCAAAATATCTTCTATTTTGTGTTCTTCAGAAGAAAAAAGTCAAGGTTTGGAACAACATGAGGGTAAGTAAATCAAAAATCATTTCATTTATGGTGGACTATCCTTTTAAGTTTCCCACCAGGGTCTGTTTAAAAGTTCAACTTTAAGAGACTTTATGGTCCATGTGGACACTGTTCTACTTTAATTTAAAAGGGTTATCTTAAGCTTGATGGGGTTCAGAAAAACTAACTCTAAACTTCAACTCTCCACTTTGTATCTTATGTATTTGAATGAGGGTTAAGTCTGTTTAATTAATGGAAGCAGGGCCTTGCTATCCTTGGCTAAACCCATTAACAGAGGGGGCCATTGGAGAGTTAACTAGTTGAAGTAATTAGAAGAGGAAAGTAAGAGCCATACATGCGTGAGACAGCAGCAGTGAACTCTCAGTGTACGTGAATGTGTCTGGGTGTCTAAATTCACAGCAACTGATTTTCTAAAATACTCGCTGCATTCAGTCCTATTCTATTTTTGCTAGAAGTTTACAGAGGTCATAACTGCAAAGGATTGTTTACAAAATGCAGCTGAAGTCAATTTATGGAGCATATATATATTACCAAAGCTTATAGAGGGCATAATGTCACTGATTATGATTACATTATTTCTTGAAACCACATATAAGACAATTCAGTATACTGTCTCCACACATCTTGTGTTTTTTACATGACAACTACGGTAAACCATAATACTTAACATTCTTAACTTAAATCTTAAAGGAACAGTTTACCCAAAATGGCTGAACGTTTATGCCAACCAAGATAAAGATGACTTTGTTCATTGGAACAGATTTGAAGAAATTTAGCATTATATCACTTACTCACCTGTGGATCTTCTGCAGTGAATGGGAGCCATCAAAATGAGAGTTCAAACAGCTGATAAAAACATCACAAGTTGGCGCCGATAGCTTTGTGGTTAGTGCGCCAACATATACAGCACAACTGCGCTCACTGCAACCCGAGTTCAATTACGTCTTGTCCGAATCAGAAGAGAAATATGCACAGATCAAGCACCATTCTAAACAGATATGATGGTGGATTTTGATGTGAAAGCACAACAGGTGATTTACTTTTTCACCTGAAGGACGCATTATTATTAATTATTATGTATTTATTTACGTAATTATTATGTATTTGGCCAGAAGTGACAGTTTAAAGTTAAAATGCTTTAATAATGGATTTCTTACAAACACAGATTTTCACTTTACAAGGCATTAATTGATGGGCTGGAATTGTGTGGATTACTTGTAGACTATTGTGATGTTTTTATCAGCTGTTAGGACTTTCATTCTAATGTCACACATTCACTGCAGAGGATCCATTGGTGAGCAAATTATGTTTATGATGATTCTGTTTATACTTTTTGCATCAGTAAAATTAAATGTAATATGTGATTGCTCGTTTGACCAGTATCCTATTAGATTTGCCTTAAGATAAATTGGTGCAAATAAGTTAAGTTCGAAGTTACAAACTAACTAGTCCTACGCAGTGAAATTTTATATCCCGTTTCAAGTAAAAGTTTGACCCTAACCTGTTCTTGACTTCTCCTGTGTTCTTTAACATTCCTTCAGACTTGTCTAGCTCCATCAGAGTGCATTATTTTAAAGTTATTCCATTTTCCACTTGACTACACCTGGTCTCTTTGGTAATAGTTGATGATGACCTCTAACCTTGAGAGCTATGTTTGGTGCACTTAGAGTGTCTGCTAGGACATTGGCTCTGACCCTGAGGAATGTGCTAAAAGCAACAGTGCACACACTCACATATTTACAAAAACACATTCAAAATATAAAACAAGAAACAGAGTGTGGGCATAGCCACAAAAACAACACAATTTTGCTTTATTAAAGGGTTAGTTCACCCAAAAATGACAATTCTGTCATTAATTACTATCTATTATTATTACTATTACCCTCATGTCGTTCCAAACCCCCAAGACCTCCGATCATCTTTGGAACACAAATTAAGATATTTTTGATGCATTCTGACAGCTCTCTGACCCTCCCAAGGGTCCTTACACGATCAAGGTCCAGAAACGTAGCAAGGAGATCTGTAAAATAATCCATGTGACATCAGGGGTTCAACCGTAATTTTACGAAGCTACGAGAATACTTTTTGTGCGCAAAAGAGAAAAAAAAGACTTTATTCAACAATTTGTTTCCTCCGCACACGCATATTGCACCCTGGCGCAGCTGACACAGAACAGCATACGCTGTTTACATTCAGTGGATACTCTCCAAAATCGTGCCAGGGTAACGCGGAGGAGACGAATTGTTGAATAAAATCGTTTTTTTTTTCTTTTGTGCACAAAAAGTATTCTTGCAACTTCGTAAAATTACGGTTGAACCCCTGATGTCACATGGATTATTTTACCGATCTCCTTGCTACGTTTCTGGACCTTGATTGTGTAAGAATCCTTGCTGTCTATGGGTGGGTCAGAGAGCTCTCAGATTCCATCAAAAATATCTTAATTTGTGTTCCGAAGATGAACGGAGGTTTTATGGGTTTGGAACGACATGAAGGTGAGTAATTAATGACAGAGTTTTCATTTTTGGGTGAACTATCACTTTAAATGCATTAATATAGTTGACCACATAATGCTGATTGTTTGAAATTGAGGCTCTTCGGCATATACAGGTATAAAATTATTTGACGATTTTGAGATCTGACTGAAGCCAACAGGTGTTGTTGGACGACTGGCAGCTTTGCCAATGGATAGAGCACCGGAAATCACTCAACTACTGTTGAGTCTGAGTCTATCGGTCTGATGTATAGCACTCCTAATACTGAATGTTTTATTGCACGTGTCTCGTTCTCTGTAGTTCCTATTTCACCACCCACTGTATTATGAATGAAGTCTATCCCTGGGTCCCACCAAGTGCACTGCATACTAAAGTACATTTCTATTCCTGTGTGTTTGTGTGTGCGTGTGTGTGTGTGTGTGTGTGTTTATCTCTGTATAAACATGTTTGTGCAGATTGTTTCTCATCTAAAGGAGAAGACAGGCTGTTTCGTCGTTTATTCAGAAGGTATAATCAGTTCATTCGGCCAGTGGAAAATGTGTCTGACCCCGTCACAGTGGAGTTTGAGGTCTCCATCTCACAGCTTGTTAAAGTGGTAAGAAAACCAGTGTCCACTGCCTCAAAATACTTGACCTGTGTCTTGTCCAAACATTGGGTTTGAGATGAGATTTAAGCCTGTAAAATTGTTTCTTGACCTGAATTGCTATTAGTATTACAAGGGTTACACAATATATTACATTATTAACCAATATTAGTGTTTTTGAAGTATTAGCCATTATTATAATTTTTTTATATTTGTAATAAAAATATTGAATATTGTTCATTTTGTTCACATTTTATTTCCTATTTTTACATTTAGATTTCATGTTCCATAATCTAACATTAATTTAAATCTTTAAAACCAATTGATTGACAATGTTAAATCTAATATTTAGCAAATCTCAATATGAATATATATTTTTCATATTGTACTGTACATTATAATGTTGTGATGCCTAAATTCACTTGTAGCGTTTAAAACAATGGATTGTTTAGGATTATTGCTTTTTATTATTTTTTTTGTAACATTTATTTAGAAAACAAATGTGGATAATTAATATTGACTATTGTCTGACATAATATAAACTTATCAGTAATGGCCATACTTTTATTATTTGTGCATCTTCGTGAATTTTTCTAAAGAATGGACTCTTACGAATCATCATATTATCTTATGCTTATGAAAAGAATCAAGCAAAGCTGAGACAATAGTCAGACACTAGAGAATTCTAGTCCACATAATTTATGCTCAAACAAATTCAAGCACACAAGCACTTTTGACCTCTTTATAAAAATAATAGTGAATGAGGTCTTTTTCCTTTTTTCTAAAATGGAAAAAAAGGAGATTTGCTCTGCAGGTGACTTTCTGTGAGTGGAATTCTGTGCTGTTTTCAGTTGTTGTGAGGGCTTTTTATTTCATTTACTGTGGTCAGAGAGAGCAATTGAGTTAAAAGCCTTTGTGCCCCACTGTTACAGGAAGTAGTGCAGACTCTGTGCTTTCCCCGGCGTCATACAAATCAGCACTCCTCTTAAAACTCCTGGATTAAATTTCCACTTCACCAGGGAAAGCGGCCAAGATTATCAGCACACCTTTTTTTCTTGCTTCACAGAGACAGACACCTGAGAGATTAACAAGCCATAACCAACCACTCTAGAGAACACAATCCTTGATTAGAGATTATACTCACTCACTCACAGGATTAAAGGGTTCATATGATGTTGCTAAAAAGAATATTATTCTGTGTATTTGGTGTAATGAAATATGTTTATGCAGTTTAAGGTTAAAAAAACACATTATTTTCCATATACTGTACATTATTGTTTCTCCTCTATACCCCGCCTTTCTGAAACGTGTAGATTTTTACAAAGCTCATCGGTCTGAAAAACGAGACATTTGTTGCATCCAGTGGGGACATAATTACGGACTATAATGACTTATATGGTCTTTTTATGCGTTGCGTTGCGTTGCATTGCGCAGCGTAAACATAAAACCATGTCTGCATTTCTGATGAAATGACAAACAACAAGCGCTACTCTACACTGCTCAAAACTCGCGTTTGAATCGTCTGTGGCAAATTCTTTAAATATAAAAAAACGTACTTACAGACAGTGAGTCAGAACAGCCGGCATTGTAGTCTACTCTACCAGGATCAGGAAGCAGTCCTCCATAAAATGCGCTGCACACATCTGAATATTTGGTTTTAGGTAGGCGTGGTTGACTCTTAACTTTTATAAAGAATATCTCTTTGGATTTGAGACTTTAGTCTTTGCAACTTTACAGATCTTCTTTATGCACCAAGAGCTTGTAACACTCCAAAGAGAAAGGAAAAATTAAAATCGCATCATATGACCCCTTTAAGGAAAATTTGCTCAACAGGCTTTTTTTTTCAGATTTTTCTTGTGAATATGCAGGACCTGTTAGCATTGTTGAGGGTACTGTGATGAATGAATTGAAGCTAGTAGATGAAAGTACTCCAAAGTACCTCCAAACCCCTTTTCTTGTCAGACCTCTCTTTCACATTAGACAAGAACTGTATTGATTTTATTGCCAGAACACGTTCCATTATAAATAATAGAGAATGGCTGTCTTTCTTTCTGATTGTTTCTGTCTTTGCCCCTGCCTGTGTCTTACTCTCTCTAGGATGAAGTCAATCAGATCATGGAAACAAATCTTTGGCTGAGACATGTAAGTGATTTTTGTGTGCAGCATGTAGGCCTTGTGCACGTGTTTGTGTTAACACAAAGATCTAATCTTCTTTGTGTCTTGTACCACTGTCAGTAAGAATGTAACAAGAAAATGTGCATAGCATAAACATACAAAGGATGGGGTTGAGTAATGCAGGGGAAGAACAATACTGTGTATATATACATGGAGCAGATGAGTAGGTGGAAACAGGACACCATGAAAAAGAAAAGTTATGTAAATAATAGAAAACGTAAAGGTAGCACAGTTGTTATCTCCAAAAACAAATGGAAAGAAAGAGGTTAAAAAGATGGTAATATATGTGCAAAAAGAGTCTAGTCTAACTAGATCAAACATTTTGCTTTTTTTAATAACCAGCATAATAATAATAAACTACTGTTATTTCATAGTCAGCAAAGATTGTTTTGTTAGTTATTTAGTGAACTTATTTATTTAACAAACCTATTTTTCATCCTCCAAGCATGAAGATACATGCAGGAAATGAACTTGGCTTTATATGTCTGAAGTCCTATGCTCTTATTTCATACTGAAAATATTTTTGTGCTTTATTATTCTTTGCAACTGTCTGCTTAGATAGATATTACTTTGATACTGTACATGTTTTCAGTGCTACAATAATGAGTACAACATGCTCCAGAATTACTGCTGAACTTATTGCTTAAATCAGCATATTGTGTTTATAGTTGAGAGTGATTTGTGTGTGTGATACATTGAGTGTGTTGCCCTAGCTGGGTTCGGGGTTGGGGAGGGATCTGGATTTGAATGAATATTTGCTGAATTTTTCTGAGAATGTGTGTGCTTTTGTTAAGCCCTGTAGTATTGTACAATAAGTCTGTGCAATGCCTGATAGCAGGATGCTTGATATCACTGAACACAATAGATCAGCAGTCTTAACAACATATCTCTTCACAAATATGTCAACAAACCACAAAATGAGACAGAAATGGGCACAAATACACAGATCTGCAAATACACTACTGCTATACACATGTACACCTTAGTATACACATTTGTTAACAAACCTCAATAAACAACATGCCTGCTCAAGCAGAAAATTTGCTTTTTTCACTGCAGATGGAGAAATGCACTTACAAAAATAAAGGCTGTGACAGGGCACAGATGAAACATGTACACATAAAAGTGTACTGTAGATGCCAGATTAGAACTGTGTCACTTGTATGGGCACCAAAGCTTGAAGCATTACTTTTTAGCATATGGCTTAAGCATAATTTTTTTGTTGTTGTTGTGCTATTATCAAAGATATGGAATGACTACAAGCTGAAGTGGTCACCTGCAGAGTTTGATGGAATTGAGTTCATCAGAGTCCCATCAAATAAAATCTGGAGGCCTGACATTGTACTTTACAACAAGTGAGTGGAGTCTTGTAACCTAACTTTCAACTTCTATGAATTTAAGTTTATAGTAATTTTGGGGATATTTCCAGGTCCTTTTTTATTTTGAGCCAAACGAACATGATCAGAGCTAACAGTCTGAGAAAATAAAATAGTAATGCATTAGCAGTCATAACATTCAAATACTCTTTTTCTGACACAGTGCTGTTGGGGACTTCTTGGTGGAGGATAAAACCAAAGCTCTTTTGAAATATGATGGAACCATCACTTGGGTCCCTCCTGCAATCTTCAAATCATCCTGCCCTATGGACATCACGTACTTCCCCTTTGACTATCAGAATTGCTCTATGAAGTTTGGTTCCTGGACCTATGACAAGGCCAAGATTGACCTGGTACTTATTGGCTCAAAGGTAAACCTTAAAGACTTCTGGGAGAGTGGAGAGTGGGAGATCATTGATGCACCCGGTTATAAACATGACATTAAGTACAACTGCTGTGAAGAGATCTACCCAGACATAACCTACAGTTTTTACATACGACGACTACCCCTCTTTTACACTATCAACCTTATTATCCCTTGCCTCCTCATCTCCTTTCTGACAGTACTCGTCTTCTACCTTCCATCAGACTGTGGTGAGAAAGTGACATTGTGCATCTCTGTACTCCTCTCTCTCACTGTGTTCCTTCTTGTCATTACGGAAACCATCCCGTCCACCTCACTCGTGATCCCTCTGATAGGCGAGTATCTTCTTTTTACAATGATTTTCGTCACCCTCTCCATTGTCATCACCGTCTTTGTACTGAATGTGCACTATCGCACCCCTATGACCCACACTATGCCTAGCTGGGTCCGTACCGTCTTCCTCCGAGCTTTACCCCGTGTTATGCTCATGCGCCGGCCTCTCGATCTATCAGAGTCTTCTGGAAAAGGAGGACTAGTCCCGGGGGGCTCGTCCGGGACTGGAGCAGGACGAGGAGGAGAGGGAAAGAAGAGGAAAAACAGTGGATCTCAGCAGGGAGCAATGAACTCTTTGGAATTTGGAGAAGGGAAAACAGCATTAGAAGGAAAGAAAGGCGGATGCCCATGTCACCCAATGAAAGAGGCAACTGAGGGGGATTGTGGGAAAGTGAGTCGTCAGTTGAGTCCACAGGCTATTAATACAGTTGTGGCTTTCTCTGTGGTGTCACCGGAGATCAAACAGGCTATTGAGAGTGTGAAGTACATTGCTGAGAACATGAGGAGCCGCAACAAAGCAAAAGAGGTAAAGTAGTTCCCATTCAGTCAATCCACTCGGTACAACACATTGATTATAAGGAATTGTGCTCTCTGGATAAACACACTGCCAAAATTATTATTCCTTGACATGGAATTTGGATCCACATGCAGAGCTTTTTCATCCCAGCAAAGATTAGTCACATTAGTGTCAGCTGGGCAACAAACTGCACTTGTGTGTCTGCTTGGGATGATGGCTTCTATGATAGCAAATGACTAATCAGGTCCCATTTATGCCAAATAATTTGTTTAGAATGAGATAAAAAAAAAATTTCCTCAGTGTGTCTGATCCCTATGATAATGCATGGTAAAAAAATTTTTTTTTTAATTTGAAGCAGATGTATTGACTATGATGTCTAAATCCTTAACTGTTTTTTAGTGGTGTGGAGGCTATTAAAATGACTGCTTTCCCTCCCTCTCTTACACTCATGCTCTCTCTCTCTTGCTCCATCAGCAAGAGACATAATCCCCTCTTTAATATCACCATTTCAGTTTTTTTTCCACTTCCACTTGTCAGCTTCTGACACTTTTGTAAAACATTTTTTAAACAGATGTCTTTCAAATAAAAATAAGTTTTTTTGTTGTACTCACTATGATCTCTGTCTTACTGCCTCTGTGTTAAACTCAGTAAGCAATGTATTTATGTGGTGTGTGTCTGTGAAACATGGCGTATGTCTGTGAAACGCACATGCTTATCTTGGTTTGGCTGCTATAGCAGAGGTTGGAAGTGCCTCTGGTTTTATGATTGGTTTTAGTAGCATTAGGTCTTTTGAAGTAGCAGCTTTTTATAATCATTTCATAAGTGTAAAAGCGGTTTCAGAACTATCTGACTTAATTCTAGCACAGTTGTAATCCTGTACCACTGTTTATGGAGTGTGGGAATGACAATTTTTGCAACTTAAATGCAACAGTGATTTAGCAGATCAGTCTGCAAAGATTAATCATGTGCTATATTTATATATACTACAAAAAGAAAACTCTTCAATATGACTTTAGAGCAGTTCAAAAACTCTAAACAAATAATAAAGATATATATATATTTTTTTTATATATACATTTTATTTTTCATATTCCCCCAGTATATTATGTCTAATGCACATCTTGCAGCAATTCATTTATAGTTCCATTTTGAAACACTGCTTGAGAATGATTTTTTAAAAATACGGTTAATTGAGGGTACTCAAGTTCCTACACTGCCATCATTTGAGAGAGAGAGAGAGAGATTGAAATCACCTTTATTTACAACATATAGGTAATACCATAATGTGTTATTACTGCAATCTACATTTCACAATCTTCAGTCTCAATTACAAAATATCTATAAATAATAAAAATAATAATAATAATAATACCAACAAAAACAGTATTAATAGTAACAAAAAATACAATAACCAAACAACCCAAACAAATATAATGACAAAATGACTTTAGAAAGCCAACAACAAATCATCATTTTCATTGACTTCACATAACACTCCATTTATGGCCCAATTATTCACAAACATTGGTAAACACCCTACAAGTTTCTAATATGCATATTCTATCCTGATGCAACTAAACCCAAGAACATCAACAAGGGATCTAATGTATCTTTACCAAGCATCTTGTTTTTCCTTGTTTTCCAGATAGCGAGTTTAGCAGTTCCAAACATAAAATTTACTAAAACCAAAACGTTTTTTTGACTAACTGAATAATATAGAGAGAGAGAAAGAGAGAGAGAGAGAAACACAAATTAATTAGGGTAGAAACACTAAGACTGTGCTGTGTCTGCACTGGTTTATGTTCAGTAATGTCTATTTTCTTATTTATATCAGCAGAATGTCTTGAATCAATAGCATCTCAAGCAATACAGACTGCAGTAGCATCTTTGATATGTGCCAACATTTGGCTGTGGCTCCAAAGGCTCAAGTAATTCATTAATTCCAAAGAAAAATTCTTCTATACACGTTCAGATTGATGTAAAGAAAAAAGTGAATTACCAACATTTGGCTGGAATTACCATAAAACTAAAGAGGCCTCTTTCTTTAATCTGCAGTTTTGTACACAACTGATCATTATTTATGTAATGGCTTCAGGCAGCAGACACTTTATCATAGGTTTTCTGAAAATCACACAATAATGCAGAAAAATTACTTTCCTGAGTTTATTTGTTTGTTTGGGCATTAGAGGACTATCAAGTGGAAAATGTACCTCTCTGTATGTGTATGGAAAATCATAAAGTGTATATGAATATACACTTTAAAGTATAATACCAGTATAACACTTGGGGTATAAGTGAAGTGCTCTGTCTTGCGCTTGATAACTCCAAAAAATAAAAAAAAATGCAATACACTTTACAAAGTCACACAATAATAAAAAAAAAATTGTTCACTGTTGTTGCCTCTCATATTACAGTCTAGTGGAATTTGGGACACGGATAATAGTCCAAGATTTGTGTTTATTAGTGATCGTAATAAATTTATTTATTCATTTGGATGTCTTCTTATGAAAAGATGAAATAAAGGATTAGAGTTTTCTATTTGTGCCTGTTTTCTCAAATGGATGAACATTAAATTCATATTCTTGATTGTTGTTTGAAAAGAACTTTGCATAAAAGTGCTCATCAAAACCTCTTTCTCTCTTACTGTCTTCCTTTCTGTATTTTGTATAATCTGATTAATTATACTGATTACTGTGGATGTGCTGCCATATCCAAAATTAAAATTTGTTTGTGTATTTGCATGTTTTTGCATTTGTATTACTCTCCCTTTGTCATTTTTTTTCTGGTTGCCTACAAAACGATGTGTGTGGCTGTGGCAGGAGAACGCTAAGATTCTCAAATAAATTGCACACATTTACTTTCCTGCAATCCTCTCTCTTAGAGGATACTACTTTTAATATTGTTCTCTTATTTTGCAGTGCTTAAATTCTGAGGTCAGGCTTACCTCGAAATACCGCATTTATGTCCTTCCAGGATTAGTCGGTCAACATTGTGCTGTTGTCATATTATTGTTACTCTTGTTATTATAGTTGTTTTGAGCTCTTTGTTGTGGTGTGCCTTGGGCTCCATGGTCCAGGCTATAGCCTCCTTGTTACTATATATGGAATCTGAAGCTTTTGTCACGGCAAAAGCAGCCCATAATCCAATAGCAAAGCCTCCTTCTCCAGAGTGTATTGTGTATGTGTTCTAACAAACACACCTGCGGATGTAACTGGGCTGAGCCAGCAGGAACTGCTGTTCCTGTAGTTTGTGTTCTTTTTGAGAGTGTTCTTGTAGCTCAAACAGTAGGACATGGTGCTAGCAATGCCAAGGTCATGTGTAAAATGCATACTTTGAATTCACTGTAAGATGCTTTGGCTAAAAGCATCTGTCAAATAGCTTTTTTGCAGTAAAGTACCAAAAGAATCCAACCTCATCACAAAACATCATCATGGTAACACACATGACACTAAAATAATGCAATAAACATTAATCAAGAAGCTGTAAAATATAACTTTAAAGAACGTCTCTAGGTTACGTATGTAACCATGGTTCCCCGAGGGAACGAGACGCTGTGTCGAGATTCGCTTTGGGAACGCCCTTGCGTGACCGCGTTCTGAAGCACGTGTCAAATCTGTCCAATAGAGCAGCGAGACGTCACGAGCAGGGTGACTTAAGCACCAGAAAGCATAAAAGCGCATTCGGCCAGGCGCCACCCAGCTTCGATGAAGTAGCGCCTGCAGGGATGCAGGGAGTATGGCAAAGAGACGCAGCGTCTCGTTCCCTCGGGGAACCATGGTTACATACGTAACCTAGAGACGTTC